GTTGTAATATATATCAAAAATAATACAATAAAATCTAAAATAATATCAACGCAGAAACAAGGTGGATTTCAACCAGACAATTTTGAATTGTTTAACATTTTCAGTGAGTGCATCATTTCTCCAACAGGTTTTATTTCAAATTATTAAACCAGACTAATCCCTCATATTCATGAAAGTTAGATTTATTGTGGATAAAGATAGGGCATCAAATGAGACATATGTTTGCCAATCAGAAAACATGACTAGATGAGAAGAATCATACAATAGGCCTAGATTATAATATTGTAGGCAATGTGATCAGAGAAAATGTTACCACCTAGTGGTGTAATAGGTTATAGACAAATAAAAATGTTCATTTACCATCAAACATGGTTAACAGTTTTTTGAAGAAACCACCTTAGTGTTATAAAACCAACAGTCCAAAAAAAAAAGCACATTGCTCCTATTAATAAGAAAAATAATACTTCCAAAAAAAACCAGCTCATGAGTTGCCAGTTGTTCCTTAAATCCTCCAGGCCTGTACAGAATCCATCTTGGACACACTGAGAGGAACAAATCTGGCATGCCTGTACAGTACTGTTTATCAGTTTGCAGCAGTATCTTCTCAGAAAAACGAAATCTTTCAGAATAAAAGGCTTTTTTAATCTTCCATCCGCACATTTAGTCAGAAGCAGCAGCAGCTGGATGAAAACATTAACATCAATCTCTAGTTTTGCACTTCAAAGTGTCCTAATTAGCACTAATTACTTGTGTATATATGAAAACTACAGCCACAAAGAAATGTTTGAAGCAGCGCACAAAATCGCTCATTTATTTCTCAAAATCATTCACAGCATATGAATATTTTAGCATAGTGTGATAACATACATAAAAACAACCGGTGAGCACAGAAAACTTGAAACGATCGTACAGGAGCTACATCAGTCATTTTGTCAGCCTCTGATTGGCCAGCTGGGCTGATGAGTGTACGTCCCTGCGTTCCAGAAGGACTGTGGGTGGATCAGCTGGTTCTCATGCCATCCCTGCTGAGATGGCTTACTGGGTTTGGATTATTTGTTACCACGGTGGCGACATGGGCTGTGGGTTCTGCAAATAAGACATCACGACTGCCGATATGGACAGCCTGAAGGAATGAACGTATGTTTAATTTGGCAGTCCAGAAGCATTACATTTGAAGGATTTCTTTAGGTAGATTACATTTTTGTACTTCTATAAAATATTAAATAATAATAGAATCATCCAACATTTGTATTCATTAGAAGAATAACGAACAAGCATAAGCAACTCACATGAAGCTGCTCATCATTTGTTTGGTGTCCTCTGAGCTTCGTGAATTGGCAAAACTGATGAATGAACAATACACGGCAATCCATGCGCACCATTTAAGCTGCCGAAAACACAACAATTTGAACGTTAAATCATAGCTGAGCATCAATCTGCTCATGTTTTAGTCATAAACAATGACAATCGTTAAGTAAACATCAATGTTTGCTGTAAACACAGGTGTTTATGTAGATGAGGGTCAAGTCACCTTGAGCATCAGGCCACACATACTGAAGACCATGCCGAGCAAGTTCATGTAATCCGGTGTAGGATCTTCCAATGTGGGGTTAGTTTCTGTGTTGGGAGGCTTGTAGCTGTAAAGCAAAAACACAGTATGCCTTGACTATTAATGCTGTCATTTTATTTTGTACTACAAAAAAAAAAAAAAAAAAAAAAAGAATTCAAACATCACACAATTTCGTCAGAGAAAGCCATAAAACTATACCTAGTTGAACAATAATGACATACGTTAAATGTGCAACAATTGTGATCTAATACATACAATTGTAGATTGATGGCTGGCATATAAACTAACATTTAATAAACGACTATAGAGATTAATATTTATACATTTAGCATAGATATTTAATTCCATCGATGTTATCATTTAAGACATATTATTACGTAACGTACAAAACGTAAATCTATTTTACTGTCTTCATTGTAAATCTGATTTAATCCCGTCTAATCATTAGCCGAACTGTTGCTAACAGTGATGCTAACGAAAGCCGATCAAAACTCTCATCTCAGTCATCTCTTAAATAGTCTCAAATACGGACAAACTACTCACCGAAAAATCTTATTCGGTCGTCTTGGATCTGCCATGTTGTTCACGGTCATATTCTAATAAAATCCGAATAAAATTAAACCTTCCTTGGGAGTTTAGCAGCAGCACGTCAGCGAACAGCTGACCTGTGAAACTCTACTACGCCTCATTCTGTTGTATTCAAAGCTGTACGTGATGCACTTGCACCCCCTGCCGCTATGGAGTGTTATTGATAGATGATTGACAGACAAGAAACCTCAAATGCATAATTGTGGTAACAGTGTAAAATATTTATTTGAGTCTAATAAAATAATTTACAGGCAAATTATTATTAAAATACAAATAGCCTACTGTTAATCAAAACTGTGTTATCTGCTACTATTAAATCATCATTTTAAAACATCACCATAGCCACATATATTGACAATGTGCTAATATCAAAACTCTAAATTCTAAACTTAAGTCTATAAAAGGGTGTAAAACATACTGTTTGTATAGCATTCCATAGCAAGAATAAATGCATAATGAACAAGAACATAAGAATCATGCAAACATTTGCACCATTATATTTTATTTCTTTAAAGCTACAGAAGAAGAAAAAAACACCTTATCGTCATAGACAGCTATTTGTTGACTTAAATTCAGTGAGATTTTACTTTACTGGTGTTTTTTATTCTTGTGCAAGCTCATCCCCAGGAACATCAAATATATATCTTCTTTTATCCCTTGTGCACCATAAATGTCTTGCAACTGATGTTATTTATTCACATCTGTCCATAAGGGTGTTGAACTGTAAGGAATCATTGTTTTCTGACAGTATTTGTCTTCATGAATCCGTCTCTTGTAAATTCGGAGGTGCTGGATTCATCTCATTCAGTTCAGTTCAACATCCCTCTCCGATTCCGTGGTCATCGTGTGCCTTTAATAAATAAATAAATAACTACGAGAAAAAATATTGCATAGCATTTCACAATTAGATCCAGTATTATGGTGAACTGGTCAAATGTATACCTTGAATGTAGTGTAAGTCGCTTAAAAACGTTATGTGGGATGGCTGTTTAAAGTCTCGTAGGTGGAACAGTACTTCACATTTAGTGTGATTCAGCAGAAAGCTAGTTTGGTATGCTTATATACTATACCTGCCCTCCTCTATATCCAGAACATTCTCTGGAAGCTGAACATTCGTGGTCTCAGGCAGAAGGAAGACCACACATCCACTGAGAACTGCAGTGGCAGCAAACACTAGAGAGGGTGCAAAGCGCCACATGTCCTCCAATAATATGACCATGGGAGCCAGCGAACTTCCGATACGCGCTATAAAAGAGGTGTAGCCCAAGCCGCACTGCCTAGGAAAGATACAGAGAAGCAGAGTAAGTTCTTTCATTTAAAAAAAAATGTAAAGTGGAAAATGTAAGTGTTTTGGTCCTTTTCTTAAAATATAAATACACATACATAAATATTAGAATAATGTTACATCAAAAATGTAAAAGTTACCGGAGTACAGTAGGGTAAAGCTCAGATGTGTACAAGAAGGCAATGGTAAACGCTGCCTCAGAGAATCCCTTCCCAATAATTGCAATCCCTGTCCGCACAGCAGAAAACTCTGTGGATGAAACAAAACCAATATTATTTCTTAAATAAGTAACATCCACCATAAAATTTGGTATAAAGACGTGATAAAGAATTAAGGAGTACCTGTTGGGATTATACTGTTTAGTCCAATCAGAACTCCTGCTATAATGAGAGACCACGCCTGGCCATTTCTGCGTCCAATCCAATCCAGAGTGAAGTAGGTCCCGACCTTAGCTGGGACTTCAATAACTCCATAGACAAACTGCGTGAGATAGATGTTCAGACCAAACCCAGTGATGTTGAAGCTGATTCCATAGTAGGTAAAAGCAACTGCAAACCTGTAGATTTAAATAAAGACTGTCGATTCACAGCGTTTGACTGTTGTTTCACAATGGAAAACAAACAAAAAAATTCCTCACATACCAGAAAATCCCTGAGAAAAACACAATCTTCCTCAGTTTCGGTGTCCTCACTAGATCAAGGTAGGAATGATTCTTGTTGGAGACCTCACTAACGGTGATTTTCTTTAAGGTCTTTTTAATCAAGAGATAAAGGGTGAGATCAAAACTGATTATCACAATAATAACTTATAGAGGATAGCTGGATATGTTTACCTCAGTGTCTAGTTTATGAGTGCAACTGTGCTTTCCATTCATCTTAGCACACTGAATGAGATACTTCTGCGCCTCTTCCACCCTGCCATTGGCTAGCAGCCATCTTGCTGACTCAGGAATCCACCTTTTGAGATAAAATACACAGGAGAAAAATATTAATGTAGGCCTATCCATGAAGCACATTTAGAGGCCTAAAAATCCAGTTTTTTTTTTTTTTTTCACGTGCAGTTCCACCACTTACCACCAGGCAATTATGCCCACAAGGCAAGGTGAAGTCACTACCAGGATGAGGTGCCTCCAGTCCCTGATGAGATATGCCAGAAGAGCCGAAAGCATGT